AGAAATCATGCTCCTTGGTATTTACCCAAAGGAGTTAAAAACTTGGATATTTATAGCAGCCTCATTCATAATTGCCAAAACTTAGAAGGAATCAAGGTGTCCTTTAGTAGGTGAATGGATAAATAAACTGGTTCCAGACCACAGAATATTATTCAGCACTAAAAAGAAATGAGCTTTCAACCATGAAAAGACGTGGAGGAAACTAATGCATATTACTAAGTGATTTCAGCTGTATGACATTTCTGGAAAAAGCCAAATTATGGAGTAAAAAGATAATGGTTGTCAGGGTATGGAGGGGAGGGTAGGATGAATAGGCAGAGCATGGGATTTTTTTAGGGCAATGAAACTCTTCTGTATGATACTATAATGGTAGATATGTGAGTTTTTACAACATAGAATACACAACACCAAGAATGAACCCTAAAGTAAACTATGGACTTGGGGTGATAACAGTGTGTCAGTGAAGGTTCATCAGTTGTAACAAATGTACCACTTTGGTGGGGATGTTGATCATGGGGGAAGCTTTACATGTGTGGGGGCAGGAGGTATATGGGAAATCCCTGTACCTTCCTCTCAATTATGCTGTGATCTTAAAGTCTATTAAAAAAAAAAGCCAAAGAAGGTAGGTGGTTTCCATTTATCAGTGCTTATACTGAGAAGGTGATAAAAGGACAGGCACTGTCCCAGAAATCCAACACTAAGGATATGAAATAGATATCAGTGTGTTGTACTCTTGACATGTGAGCACCAGTGTGAACTTGCAGATACTTTCACATGAGGTTTCTGTATCCCATTCTTAGCACCTCACTCCTACTCTATGCCAGTCACTGGGCTGCCTGATACCCCTTCAATATTTCCCTTTTTTGTTGGCACACCTGAACTCCCTGCCCCAACAAAATTTCCTTGGGGCTTCCCCTCACCACAGATTGGAATTGGCAGATGGGATTTTCTCTGGCAGATGGGATCTGTGGGATCTGACACTATCTACAGGTAGCCAGTGTTAGAAGTAAGTTAAGTTGGGGGCGCCTGGGTGGCTCAGTCGTTAAGCGTCTGCCTTCTGCTCAGGTCATGATCCCAGGGTCCTGGGATCGAGCCCCGCGTCGGGCTCCCCGCTCCGCGGGAAGCCCGTTTCTCCCTCTCCCACTCCCCCTGCTGTGTTCCCTCTCTCGCGTTCTCTCTCTCTGTCAAATAAATAAAATAAAATCTTAAAAAAAAAAAGTAAGTTAAGTTGTAGGACATCCAGCCAGTGGTGCAGAGAATTGCTTGTTGTGGGGAATTGCTCCCCTCCCACAACGTTTGGTGACCAGAAGTGTCAAAAGTTAAATATCCTGTGTAAAAGTCAAGGAGAAGGTAGAGCTGGGTTGTTTTTCCGACACAGGAGGAGGAGAGACTAGGACTGGGTTTTTTTTTCTTAATTCACTCTGAAAATTAGTAAAAGGAAAACTCACTAAAATCGAGCCAGGCGGCCAGCAGGGGGAGCTCTCGCGCCCTACCACTCCTGATCGTTGTAGACCCCAATAGGAAAAGAGGGACATTGCAGGTGGACGCCCCTATCCCAGGAGGGGGGAAAAAAGGTTTTCCTCTTATCCCAGCAACAGCCTAGCCAATGAGACAACTCAGCCAATGAAAAGCCACTATACTTTGGATTCCCAGTTTGCTCGAATGGACTTTGTTTATAACAGCACTCCCAACTCCCCTCTTTTCCTCTGTAAAAGAGCCTTCTTGTTTTTCGTTCTGTGACTTGCCTATGGTTTTGTAGTAGCCTATGTGTCCTGAATCGCAGTTCTCTGCTATTCCCGAATAAACCCATTTTTGCTGGTAAAATAGCTGACAGTTTTCAGCTTAACAAATCTTTTTTTTGACAATCATCATGTACTATCAGAAAAACCAATGAAGATATTTTTAGTTTTTTATTTATTTTATTACTTTTTAAAAAGATTTTATTTATTTGTCAGAGAGAGAGAGAGTGCATGCATGAGCAGGGGGAGCAGCAGGCAGAGGGAGAAGCAGGCTCCTGGCTGAGAAAGGAGCCCAATGAAGGACTTGATCCCAGGACCCTGGGATCATGACCTGAGCCCAAGGCAGATGCTTAACCAACTGAGCCACCCAGGCATCCTGAAGATATTTTTATTAGGAAGAAAAAACATGTGCAAAGTACACAGAGAAGATTTATTATTGTTAATCCCCTATCAGTCTTCTTTTTCATCCCAACTTCCCGATAAAACACTGGTTCTCAACTCTGCACATGATTTGAATTACCTGGGAAGCTTTTATTTTATTTTTTAAAGATTTATTTATGTAAGAGAGAGAGAGAGTGTGAGCACGAGTTGGGGAAGGGGCAAAGGGAGAGGGACAGAGAGAGAAAATCCCCAGCAGACTCCTCGCTGAGCATGGAGCCCCACGTGGGCCTTGATCCCCCAACCCTGAGATCATGACCTGAGCTGAAATTGAGTCATATGCTCAACTGACTGAGCCATCCAGGTACCCCAATTCTGGGAAGCTTTTTAAAATGCCAGTGCCTTGTTGTTATGAACACTGGGTGATTAAAATAAAAACTTAAGGAGCATCTGGATGGCTTAGTCATTTAAGCATCTGACTCATGACCTCAGGATTGTGAGATCAAGCCCTACATTGGGCTGTGCACTGGGTGTGGAGCCTGCTTAAGATTCTCTCTCTCCCTCTCCTCTGGCCCCCCCAATCTCTCTCTCTCTCTCTAAAAAAATTAAAAATAAATAAATCAAAACTTTAAAAAAAAGAAGAGAGAATCTGAAAAAAAAAATGCCAGTGCCTGAGCTCCACCCCAGCCCCACCCACAACTGAGTCTGGATCTGTGGAGGTCAGGCTGGGCATGTGTAGTTTGTTAAATCTCCCTGGGTAGTTCTAATGTGCAGCTGGAGTGCAGTCCACTGACTATAATTTCAAGGTAATTAAATGTGAATAGGTCAAAATGATATAACTATATAAGTAATTACATTCAACTTCAATAATTGTTTCTAGCTGATTGTGGTAGGGAGGGTGTTGGCCATGGAAAACAACTAATTAGGGGAAGAAATGAACTGTGCAGGATCAAAGGAAATTTCTCTTTGTGGTGAGGCAGTATAATTGAGTAGAAAGAGCACTTCCTTTGGAGTCAGATTTGAGTTGAATCCTGTCACTTGGCCAATCTGGACTTATGCCTCACTTTTCTCATCTGTAGAATGGCAACAATAAACCTACCTTGTAGGGTTGTTGTGAAGATCCCAGATAATGTATGCTAAATGCTTGGTCCTTGGTAGGAGAGTGGCAGCACTATTAATTTGTAATAACAACAATCTAATTTTGAAGAATTTATGCTAAAGAATGGGGACCAAGATGTGCCCCTAAGATGACCTGCTCAGGCCCTGAACTACTTAGGTCTCCCTGGAGGAGAAAATCCTAAGACTCAGATTCCAAGCCCTGAGGATGGGGTAAGAAGGAAACTTGCCAAGAGCCCAAGGAAATAGTACAGAGAAGAGTTGTTGGGACTTGTCCATACTGGACTGGCCAAGGCGAATGCAAATCTCCTGTGGTCTCAAAGTCAAGGGGAAGAGGCCTCATGGCACTAAGGGAATAATGCTACAAAGACAGAAGCTCTGTGCTTGCAGAAGAGAGGGAGAAGCAGCAGAGGACTCTGTAAGTAGAAAAAATGAAAGAAGAGGATGTTTGTCCTGAGATGTAGGTGCTTTCCCCTTCAATTCCACCTTCAACCACTGCTGAAACACAACATCCCCTGAAAAGAAGTCACAGAACACTGAAATAGACCCCTCTTCCAAAATCAAAGGAATGGACTTGCATACAAGCCACGCTTTACTGGGCTAAGTACTTTACAGTTTATCCCAAGCATTTGGAGTTCCATGTCAGCTTCACCCCAATCCTTCAAAGTGGCTAGGGCAGAATATCCAGTTTACAAAAGAGAAAACTGCAAATTTGCACCAGGATGAAGAGCCGACAGTGACTAACTAGGGCTCGTATCCCGATAGAATTCTAAGGCGGTGGGTGACTTTTTCTTTTCTTTTCCTTTCTTTTAAAAATTAGCTTGATGTCCTTTGATCCTTTGTCCTTTGAAGGATTGGGGAAGCACTCTGCCCGGAGCTCTTTTCAATAGGGCAGCTACCATTCTTTAAGCCTATTCTCTGTACAAGAAAGACCCTGTAGCAGGCATTCTATATGGGCTGTATAAATTGATTTAATCCACTTCCCTAGCTCACGACTCTAGGCAATAGAAATAATTAGTGCCATTTTATAGATGTGGAAAGCAGAAGTTTGAGAAGTGAAATGGATTGTCTAGGGTCACAAAGCCTGTTGGTGGCAGAACCAGGACTTGCCCCCAGGACTTAACACTTTAATTTCAGTTTCCTTCTTTTGCAGCCATACTCCTTAGCTGATGTTTATGGCCACAAAGTGGAACTCCAGTTTATCCACCCTCAGTGACATTGCCTAATCTCTTGGAACCCCTCTATTCATGTATATAAAAAAGGGATAATACTATCTATAGCATAGGCTTATGAGAATTACAGAAGATAATTTATGCAAAGAACATTGTAGGTATAGGTAAATGGTAGTTATTATAATAATGAGGCAGTTTGTAGCCAGTGGTCAGACTTTTTGGGTTCAAATCCCTGTTCTGTCACTTGTACCTGTATGATGTTAGGCAAGTTACTCAACCTCTCTGTGCTTTGGTTTCTTCACCTGTAGAATGGAGTACACCTATCTAATAGGGTCGTTGTAAGCAGTAGGCAAAACAACCCGGTGAAGCCTGCACATCGTAAATGATCAATAAATACTTGCCATTATTAGTATAAATTCTCCCCTACCCTATTTAATAATTCAATTTGCCCTGAAGTTCCTCTTATTCTGCTTTCCCCCGTTAAGATTTATTGCCTTCTAAGATAATGAATAATGCAATGAGCCATCCCCACTCTTTCATCACACTCTGCCTTTTTTTTTTTTTTAAAGATTTATTTATTTTAGAGAGAGAGAGAAAGAGAGAGCACGTGGGAGAGGGAGAGAGAGAATCTCAAGCAGACTCGGCACTGAGCGGGACCTGGAATTGGTTGGGGCTCCATCTCATGACAGTGAAATCACTACCGCAGCTGAAACCAAGAGTCGGAAGCTTCACCGACTGCGCCATCCAGGCACCCCCATCACACTCTGCTTTTATTCTGGAATGTTACCTATCATCTTCTATAGTGGTAAGTTATTTACTGCTTATTGTCTGTATCCCTGCAGGGCATGGATTTTGTCCTTTTTTCCTTAGAGATATTTGGAGCACCTGGTACAGTGCCTGGCACGTAGTAGCTGCTCAATAAATGTTAGCCGTTATTATGATAAAGTCTATCTTGACTCCTCTGTTTAAGAGTCCTCCCGCTGCTTGCTCTGAATTCCTAATTCCCCTTAACCACCTTTCCTTTTTCTTTTGTGCAATAGCATTTACTACCTTTTAGCACACCACCTAACTTATTTATTAAGTACTTTTATTACTTATGGTTAGTTTTCTCCCTCCACCATCTAGATTGTAAGTCCCATGAAAGCAAGAAGGTTTGTAGGTTTTTTCCACTCATGTATCTCCAACACCTTGAACACCTTGCCTGGCATATAGTAGGTGATTAGCAGAATATTTGTTGAATGAATTCTATGTGGCGGAGCGTCAAAAGCACTGGGCCTGGAGTCAGAAGACCTCCTGGGACTGCCACTGAACTCTTTCGTGTGTCCTTAAACGGGTTCCCTCCCCACTCCCGGCCTCAGTTTCCCCTCCCAGCTCAAACCCTGCAGGTTCCGCGGCGGCTCGTTCCAGCCAGCTGGGCGGTGTCGCGCCAAGCGTGGCCGCTGGGGGGCGGTGGTGTCCAGCGCCCAGCCCCGCCCACTTTCCCGGGAGGCGGCGGCCGGGTGAGAAACCGCCCGGTGGGACCCGCCTGCTCCCGGAGTAGAGGAGCCGTGTCCCCGGCGCAGCTGCCCCAGTTGTCCGCGCGCCTGCCCGCCGACCCCCGGAGCCCAGCCATGTCCTGCTACATCTACCAGCTGCCCGCCTGGGTGCTGGACGACCTGTGCCGCAACATGGACACGCTCAGCGAGTGGGACTGGATGCAGTTCGGTGAGTGCAAACCACCCCCCCAGCCCCGCGACTCCGCCGCTAAGCCCCCTGCCCACTTCTGTTTAAGTGGGTCCTGAACCGAGGGGCTCTTTGTGCTGCCGTTCCGGACCGGGGTCTCGCCGTGTGTCCTCGGGCCGGCCACCGCCCCCCGTCTGGACACCCCACCCCCGCCCCCTCCACGGGGATCGTCTGGAAGGTGTTGGGTGATCTTTGAAGATGTCTGTTGTTATGTTAGTCTGTCCCTAGGTAGTGAGCGGTTCGACTTTGCTGTTTACGGTAAAGCTTATCATAATAAGCTATCAGCAGTTGCTGTGCGTTTTTGTTTACTGAGCGTCCGGCCCTGATGGAGGCACTTGGCACAGATTATCTTCCTGAGTTCCCTTGTACAAGGGCCTGTGAAGTGCGTATTTCTCTTACCCCAGTGTACAGACGAGGAAAGGGATTGAGAGAGGTAGAATAATTTACCTGCGGGCATGGCCTTGCTAAGTGGCAGAGTGGGATTTGAACCCTGGTGTCTGACTCCACCAGGACGTCGTAGGTCCTTGGTGTGTTTTGTTTGTTTGTTTGCGCCTGATGATCTGCAGAGAGGGCCTGGCATCTGGCGGGCCGCCGCCCGTGTTTTCCTAGGGTTCCCAAGCAGAGGTCTGTATTCCAGGCTCCACCTCCTCCCAACTGGTGACTTTGGACAAGTTGCTTAACCTCTCTGAGCCTCGGCTTAATCTGTGAACTGGAGGTTCTTGTGGGTAATGACAACTGTAGAAGAGGCGCCTGACACTTAAGTGCCAGATTCTAATAAGTAATAAGGAAATATTAACAATGATTATTTTTATGTTGGAGGCCAGTGCAACTGGTGCCACTTTATTTAAAAAATAATCTCTATATTTTATTGAGAATTTAGATTATGATATGCATATGTATGTACTCCTGTATATACAGGAGTATATGATATATATGTCTAGTATATGCTATATATGTACATATATGTATAGGTACAGTTGAAAAAAATAATAAAATGAACATGGATAGGTTATCCATCCAGTTTGAGCAAATAATATACATTTTAACCTAGTGGTTCTCAACCAGGGACGATTTTGCCCCCTGGGGAACAAGTGTCTGGAGACATTTTTGGTTATCACAGCTTGGGACGTGCAGTGAGTAAAGGGCAAGGGATGTTGCTAAATGCCCTACAATGCACAGGACAGCCCCCTCCACATAGAATTGTCTGGCCCAAAGTGTCAATAGTGCTCAGACTCAGAAATCCTGTTTTAAACCGGTAACAAAAATAATACATGCTTATTGCAAAATGCTGTGGGAAACAAAGATTAGCTCAAATTCCACCACTCAGGGATAACCATTCTTTTTTTTTTTTTTTAATGTTTTATTTATTTATTCATGAGAGTCAGAGAGAGAGAGAGAGAGAGGCAGAGGGAGAAGCAGGCTCCCAGCCCGATGTGGGACTCGATCCCAGGACTCTGGGATCATGACCCGAGCCGAAGGCAGACGCTCAACCATCTGAGCCACCCAGGCGCCCCAGGGATAACCATTCTTATTTGGATGTCAATAATAATAATAATAATGAATGGCAACAACAGCAGCTAACATTTAGTGGTTCTATGTGCTAGCAGGGTGCTATGTGGTTTATACCTTCTAGTATATAATAATAAACATTTATGTGCATACATTTTTCAAAAATCATATATGTTGTACATTCTAATAGCTTGCTTTTTTTCACTTAAAATATTCACAATTTTTCTCCTTGCCAAAGTGTTCTTTAGCAACATGGATTTAGGGTTTTATTTTTAGCATGTATTTTTGTTAATGATTTTTTTTTTTTAAAGATTTTATTTATTTGACAGAGAGAGACACAGCAAGAGAGGGAACACAAGCAGGGGGAGTGGGAGAGGGAGAAGCAGACTTCCTGTGGAGCAGGGAGCCCGACGCGGGGCTCGATCCCAGGAACCTGGGATCATGACCTGAGCCAAAGGCAGACACTTAACGACTGAGCCACCCAGGCGCCCCTTTGTTAACGATTTTTAATGGAGAGAAGCAACACATGCATTTACAAGTGTAAATAATACACCAGGGGTAGAGAGGAAGGTAAATGTCTTTCCTCTTCCTGGTCTTCAGCCTCCCCCGTCCATCCCCCAGAGGCAGTCACTGGTAACATGTCAGGGCACCCCTGAGAATGTCTATTACCACCTGGTTTTCTAGACTGCAGTGTGTTCCTTTGCTTCGATGACCTGTTACTTATCTACTTTGAATGTTTCCTGGGCAGTGGACAAATTTTGTATAAGAGACTCCCTCTAGTTTTTTTTTTTTCATGTTGGTCTTGACTGTAAACATCAGAGCAACTTCTGTTCCTAAGATATTTAGGAACCTGTGACTTTTTAAAAGCAGCTTTATTGGGATATAATCCACATAACATACAATTCACCCGTTTAAAGTGTACAATTCAATGGCGTTTAGTATGTGCAGAGTTGTATATCCATCTCCACAGTCAATCTTGGAACACTTTTTTTTTTAAAGATTTTTTTTTATTTTTTATTTGACAGAGAGAGAGGGAGTACAAGTAGGGGGAGTGGCAGGCAGAGGGAGAGGGAGAAGCAGGCTCCCCACTCGGCAAGGAGCCCAATGTGGGGCTCCATCCCAGGACCCCAGGATCACGACCTGAGCCAAAGGCAGACGCTTAACCTTCTGAGTCACCCAGGTGCCCTTGGAACACTTTTTATTTATTTTTAAATGTCATTTCCTTTTTTTTTTTTAAGATTTTTATTTATTTATTCATGAGAAACAGAGAGAGAGAGAGAGGCAGAGGGAGAAGCAGGCTCCCAAGGAGCAGGGAGCCCAATGCGGGACTCGATCCCAGGACTCTGGGATCATGACCTGAGGTGAAGGCAGACGCTTAACCATCTGAGCCACCCAGGTGCCCATGGAACACTTAAAAAAAAAAAAAGATTTTATTTACTTATTAGAGAGAGAGAGAGAGAGTGAGAATGAGCCGGGGGGGGGGGAGAGGCAGAAGCAGACTCCCCGCTGAGCAGGGAGCCCATTGAGGGGCTCGATCCCAGGACCCTGGGATCACAACCTGAGCCAAAGGCAGACGCTCAACCGACTGAGCCACCCAGGCACCCCTTGGAACACTTTCATTATCCTGGAAAGAAACCCTGTACCCCTTCATTGTCACCCCCAACACTCCCACACACACACCTCCCATTTTCCTCAGCTTTCGGCATTGCCTCTTCTGGGCGTTTCCTAGAAATGGAATCCTCTTTTTTTTTTTTTTTTTTAAAGATTTTATTTATTTATTTGACAGAGAGAGACACAGTGAGAGCAGGAACACAAGCAGGGGGAGTGGGAGAGGGAGAAGCAGGTCTCCTGCTGAGCAGGGAGCCTGATGTGGGACTCGATCCCAGGACCCTAGGATCATGACCTGAGCCGAAGGCAGACGCTTAACGACTGAGCCACCCAGGCGCCTGAAATGGAATCCTCTTATATGCAGTCCTTTGTGATTGGCTTCTTTTCTGTGGCAATTAGTTTTCAAGTTTCATCCATGTTGTACCATGAATCGGTGCTTAATTTCTCTTTATTACTGAATAATATTGCACTGATGGGTGGACCACATTTTATGTATGCATTCATCAGTTGATGAACATTTGGGTTCTTTCCACTTTTTGGCTGTTATGAATAATGCCCCTGTGCACATTTGTGGTCTCAGTTTTTATGTAGATGCAGGTTTTCATTTCCCTTGGGTGGACATCTAGGAGTGGAATTACTGAGTCATGGGGTAACTCTATATTTAACATTTTGAGAAAGTGCCAGATTGTTCTTCATCTTTTTTTTTTAAGATTTATTTATTTGTTTTGAGAGAGTGAGAATGAGAGAGAGAGTACATGAGATGGGGGAGGGTTAGAGGGAGAAGCGATGCGGGACTCGATCCCGGGACTCCAGGATCATGACCTGAGCTGAAGGCAGTCGCTTAACCGACTGAGCCACCCAGGCGCCCGATTGTTCTTCATCTTGGCTGCACTTCTTTACATTCCCTCCAGCAGTGTATGAGGGTTCAATTTTCTCTGTATCCTCCCTGGCACTTGTTATTGTCTGTCTTTTCAATTCTAGCCATCTGAGCAGGTGTGAAGTGGTATCTCACTGTAATTTTGATTTGCATTTCCCTAATGACTAATGGTGTTGAGTATCTTTTTATGTGCTTATTGGCCCTCTGTACATCCTCTTTGGGGAATACCTCTGACTTTTTAAGCCCTGGAGATACCAGAATTGCTCAAACTCTGCAAAGATTTCCAGTTGTCTTGTAGGATATAATCCAAACTCCACCAGGCCTTCCCAGCCGGTCACAATTTGACCTCACTGACTTCTTTTTTTTTTTTTAAAGATTTTATTTATTTATTTGAGAGAGAGAGAATGAGAGATAGAGAGCACGAGAGGGAAGAGGGTCAGAGAGAGAAGCAGACTCCCTGCTGAGCAAGGAGCCCGACATGGGACTTGATCCCGGGACTCCAGGATCATGACCTGAGCCGAAGGCAGTCACTTAACCAACTGAGCCACCCAGGCACCCACTAACTTCTGATCTCTTCACCTTCCACATCCACTCTTTTTTTTTAAAATTTTTTATTGTTATGTTAATCACCATATATTACATCATTGTTTTTGATGTAGTGGTCCATGATTCATTGTTTGTTCATAACACCCAGTGCTCCGTGCAGAATGTGTCCTCTTTAATACCCATCACCAGGCTAACCCATCCCCCTACCCTCCTCCCCTCTAGAACCCTCAGTTTGTTTTTCAGAGTCCATATCTCTCATGGTTCGTCTCCCCCTCTGACTTACTCCCCTTCATTCTTCCTCTCCTGCTATCTTCTTCTTTTTCTTTTTTCTTAAAATATGTTGCGTTATTTGTTTCAGAAGTACAGATCTGTGATTCAACAGTCATGCACAATTCACAGCGCTCACCGTAGCACATACTCTCCCCAATGTCTATCACCCAGC